ATTATTTTCTTTTTTAGTATAAACTAAACCAGTCAACTCAATAATTTATAAGTTCTTATTTACCTGATCAAATTAGTATGAAAATAAACTTTTCCCATAGGGGTACTGAGGAAGACTTTAGCTTCAGCTGAACAGATATCCATCTTCTGACCACAAAGGTATTTACCTTACCTACACCATGGTCTATTTAGATTTCTTTTGTAAATACTGACACAAATTCAAAAGATGCAAATGTAGCATGAAGAGAAGAACCAAAATGCGGTACAAAGCACTGTTTTTTCAATCACACCCAATATTATTAGCCTTACCAGACGGGGGGAAAAGGCGAACTGAAATTTCACACTTCTGCCTTTCACTTCCACGTGATTTCTGCACAGTTCTCATCAGTAATGCATCCCGGATGTTAGGTTAGACTTTTAACAGTAACTTACTCTATCTGCATCTAAACTTCCATTTGTTTAGACTCAGAATTTCAGAATTAGAAAAAAGTATGCAGTGGTACCTGGTTTGACTAAATTCATGATCCCAAATCTCAAATGTGTACTCAACCTGCCAGTTCCCCTGACTCTACCTCCCAGCATGTCCATCCTATCAATTGTCCAAAACTATAAGTAACCCATTTCCTGTTCTTTCCATGAACCACTTTCCCTCCCATTCTCTGTCCAGCGACTTCTTGTACTCCATTTAAACACAGATCCACCATGCTTCCATTCATATCACACTTAGCCTGGCTTCTGTACAGTGAACAAAAGGCAAATCCCTCAATAGTGGTCCATTTCCCATTCCCTCTCACCTTCAAAGACTTTTCTTTTGCAATTATATTTTCACTAGAATCTTTCTTTTGTTGTGGAAAAATGCCAACACTTTCTTTGACCCTCTTCTACTTCCACAGCACAGTCTGTTAGCTGCCTATGAAATACTCAGTCATCTGTTCTTTCTGAAACAGAGTAACCCCAATTTTAATGAGTACACTGAAGTCTGGCTGACACACGTTTTCAGCATTCTGAGTAGGTGCAGCCTTGTGGTCAATAACCTAAGCAGAAGTAATCAGGACTCTGGAAAGTTTCTTTAAAATGAGAAGAGTAACTCGTTCTTCCACCTTCTACATTTGGAATATGGATATGAGAACACTCTTTTCAAAGTCATCAGTTTGCCAAATCAAATCTTCTGCATTTGCTTGGTCTCTCAACAGCATTAGACAGATGATGCTTCACTCATTCTTGAATCCAACAGTTTCATTCTGGAAACTTTATTTTTTTATTTCTGGCCATCTATCACTCCTTCTGGAAGACTTTAATGTTGTTTTTCTCCCTGCCTCCTAACTTGGACATTTTTAAATACTCTAGTCCTGCCCACCAATGTTTTTTTTAAAAGATATATTTACTTATTTGAAAATCAGAAGGACAGAGAGAGCATGAGAGAGAGAGAGAGAGAGAGAGAGAGAGAGAAAATCTTCTATTCGCTGGTTCATTCCCCAGATGGCTGCAAGGGCCAGGACTGGGTCAGGTGGAAGCCAGGAGCAAGGAGCTCTTTCTGGGTTTCCCACATCGGTAGCAGGGGCCCAAGCACTTGAGCCACCTGCTGCTGTTTTTCCCAAGTCATTGCATGGAGCTGGATCAGAAGTGGAGAAGCTGGGACTCAAACCTGCTCCTATATGGGATGCTGGCATCACAGGTGGCAGCTTTATCCATTGTGCCACAACACCACCTCCCTGCCATTTTGTTTTTCTCCAACCCTTTTAATTGTCCTTAGTCATCATGACTATTTTAAATTCTGCTTTTAAATGCCACTTATATTCTAAAGCCACCTTGAACTCATCTAACCTAGATGTTTGATATCTCCACTTAAGATATTTAACAGACATCTCAAGATCTACTTGTCTGAAATAAAACTCTCTCCTACTTGTCCTGACCTGTGATCCTGCACCATCACGGACATGCTTGCCACCAATCATTCACCTGCTTGATGCAAAAACTGTGCTGTCTTCTTTGACTTCACTCTCCCTCCCACGCCACCCACTTTCATCAGCAGTCCTACTGGCTCTGCCTCCAAAATACACCTGTCCCTTCTCTCCATCCCCACCTGTATCACTTTGGTACAAGCCAACATCTCTCTCAGCAGACCTCTGCAATAACCAAAATGTCACTTTGCTCCTCCCCCGTCATCCACTTTCTAAGCTTTTCAAAGTGTAGATATGATTGTGTCTCTCTATTGCCTAAAAGCTTCCAATGATTTCCTCTCCCTCTCAGAATGAAATCTAAACTCCTCAAATGGCCAACAGGCCCCAGAGGCCCTTCCCTGCCCTCCTCTCTTAGTTCCCCTCCTGCTACTCTTGTCTGAATGAAGCCACACTGAATTGCTCTTTTTTCCCATATTTTCTATATACCTGAAGCTCTGGATTATGGAGTGCTTTAGGATTTTACTACTAGCTATTATCCTCTCTGAAATGTACTTTCCCTGTGTCTTCTTACTGTCAGTCTCTCCTCAACATCATTCAGGCTGCCTCCCTGGTTCCTGCTCTCACGACACTCTCTTAGGAAATTATAGTGCTTAGAAGTGTTTTAACCACCTGTTGCTCCTTCCTACACTGTAAACTACATTGAGAGCTTGTCCTTATAGATTGTGTTTACTTTCAGATTCTGACTGTCTCAAACAGTGCCTAGCAAGTAGCAGGTGCTCAAATTATTTCTTGCCTGAAGTCAACATTGAAAGCCATTTGATGTGAACCATTATTCCAATGTTTAATGCTCTTAGAGATCTGAGAAGCATGTGACCATCATCTTGGGTCGCTCAGCAACAGAGACCTCCTCCTGAGAGAGGCATTTCCCTACTTAACAATCTATTCAAAAGCCCTTCCTCATTCTCAAGTTGGAGTGTGACTACTTGGAGCTGCCATACACTTGAGGCCACTATGGTTGTACAGAATGCATGGCTTCTGTTCCACACACAACAATGCTTTAGTCCCAGTCTTCCTCTCCGTTCTTCACTTAGAACTTTTAGGGGCTATTGCACCATCCTCCCACAACCCAAGTTCTCACGGGATCACAGTGTAGTTATACACTTAGCTATCAGACATACCGTGAATATTCATCTTTGGCCCAATTTATCATTTTTCATCCAACTGGATTAACCTTTCTTACAGAGTTGGCCTGATTTAAGTTAACCATTACCTCCTTCTAGTTCAAGTTCACACACAATCTCCAACCCATGTAACTTCCATACCACCTAGCACTTACTACTTCTGTAATCTTGGTACAGTACAGTCATTCCGTATACTTTTCCTAGAGTTCCTGACACTCTGACATTATCTAGCTTTTCCAGCACAAGATGCCTGTCTTACTTTTGGGAAGAACTTTGGCCTTCTTTCTTTTACAAAGGTCTTGATTTTCCACACATATAAATTTAAATTATAAGCTCCCCTCATTTCCATACAAATAACCAGATTCACCTGAGGCAGAATAGCAGCATTTCTTTTCTTGTCTAATTTTTTTTTAAAGATTTATTTATTTGAAAAGCAGGGTGACAGAGACTGAGAGAGATGGCTTTCATCTGCTGGTTCACTTTCCAAATGGCCTCAAGAGCCAGTGTAGGCCAGACCAAAGTCAGAAGCCAGGAAATCTATCCAGCTCTCCCACATGGATGGCAGGGACTCGAGCACTTGAGCCATCATCTGCAGCTTCCCAGGCACATCAGCAGGGAGCTGGGCTGGAAGCAGAATAGCCTGGGCTTGAACCAGTGCACTGATACGGGATGTTAGGTAACAAAAGACAGCTTAACCCACCGTGCCAAAATGCCTGCCCCTGTCAGCAGTATTTCTAACCAGTACCATGGAAGCCATAAGAAGGAAAAGCTCTTTTGTGGCTCCTACCAGAACAGACCTGAAGCTAGAGGAGCTAGGGAGAGTCCATGCTGGTGCCTCTGACCATCCTTTGATGTCCTATGCCTACATTGTCTACCGTGGACAGCAAACTTCAACACTGTTCACTTCCTTGCTCCTCTAAGAATGGCCAAAGAAAACAAGAACTGCCTCAAATCAGAATAAGGGTTATTTCACACAACTCTACATGGTGATACATTTTTTGAATCATCTGCAATCTAATTTTATTCCCTTTACCTCAACAAACTGGCATTTCCCTTAAAATATTTGTGTAAAGTCTATTGGGAAGTTAATGATTTAATAAAGAAACCAAGCATGGTAATTTGAAAACATTCTGTATTTCAGCATGTGATAGCATTCAGGTAAAGAGAGCAGCCTTAGGGAACTAAGCTGAAGAAAACAACAGGATTAATGTACTCTGAAGGGTTCAGGTAAATGCCCCAAATAGTCAAACACAGCAAGATGACTAGAATCTACAGAATGCTGTTAGCTATGATTTAGGGACAAATATAAATTTTTTAAAAATCTATAAGCTCAAATCTGCTACTATGATTTTTTAAAATTTTTATATTCTGAGGAGTAATAACTACCAGCAAACTGCCACACTGGATCAGCCTATTGATTTTCTGTCTCTGATCACTACTATTATAGCTGTCTCAATAGATTAAAAAATTCCATCCTTAGTTCTTCCATGCTCCTTAATAACATACCAAGCATTTGCCTTTGTAAAATTAACCTGATCAATGATCTAGGCAGATTTCATTTTTAATAAACATTGTTCCTTATGTTCTTAACAGTGTTCTCCAGTTGTAAACTATGGGATTGAGCCAACAAGTCTCATAATCTCATCTAGAACTAGATAATTTTAAGGAAAATGTTAATATATGTTATCCTTTTGCATCTTTATTTCATTCGTGAAATAATACCTTATGTGTCTGGCTCTGGCCTGTACAGAAAAATACAGTGCATGTCACCTGGCCTAATATAATTATTCCTTAGTCATTCTGAAAGCTGTTCTTAAGGAATGCTCCTCCTTCCTACAAGCACAGCTGTCCCTTTGGGAACCTCCAGCAAATTCAGTTCAGAATTAAAAACAGCAGAGTCAACATGAAACTCAACTCACAACACTGTGTGATCTTCTGGATGTTGGATGAGATGCGCTGGGCCAGCTGGGCGGGGTCCCCAACGATTCCTGGAGTGTAAGACATGGCTGATTCACTAATTTCATCAGCTGTTGGTGGGCTGTGCAGATTTCACAGCAGTCACCTAAAGAACATAAAAGAGAGTCAAATAGCTATATTTTTAAAGTGATTTAGGCTTACATTTTCTGAATTAACAATCCGGGAGGTTATAAATACAAACCTGATCAACCAAACATGGCAAATGCATGGCAAATTCATGCATTAACCAGCAAAACTCTAATGTCTGTCAAAAAAACTTGACTTCAAAGGACAGAGTCATGTTAAACAAGTGTAACGGTTAAAACGTGCCACATTGCACATTCCCTTCATAAACTTCTTTGATCTCTCCAAGGCAGAATTATTAAATCCCTTCTCTGTGCATCAGTTTGTCTAATACTTATATTTCCTCCTGAACTAAACAGCTGTAAGACAGCCCTGCATGCTATGTGTCTTTCTCTAACATTTAAATCAGCCCTTAGCACAGAAGACGCATTTAAAGACCTTAAAAGGAACACAGCTTCAGACCTATGAAAGCCCCAGAAAGCTCATGATACCTAATTTAACACAGTGCAGGAACCTCTGACTCACAGGTATCTAATGTTAAGGGGAAAAGCTAAAATAGCAGAGCCAAGTCCTAAGAAGCAAGAGAATGTCCTGGAAAATGCCCATCACACCTTCCTGACAGAGCATGGAGAACAAACCACTCTTCTTTCCCAGCAGTCTGCTTCTCACGATGAAAGCAAAGCTCAGATGTTGTGGCAGGGAGTGAAGACAAAGCTCCTTCCTTTTCCACTCCACTCCACCCCACTCGCCTCCACCCCACTCCACTCCACTCCACTCACTCCACTCCACTCCACTCTCCATTACGTAGGGTTTGGAAAGAAGGTTGTGAAGGGGCGTCCTTGTGTATACAACTGTGAACAGCAAAACATTTCAACTACTCTTAACACCCATTTTTACCAACTATGCACTGGAATATTGCAAAGCCGGTGGTGGTCAATTTGGAAGCGAACTCTCCACTGAGAGCCTATACATGCCCAGCAGTAAACGAGGTGTTTAGGAGATGCAAACAAAACAAACAAAAAGATAAAGTCTCTGTTCAAATCAAGTTTTTCACGAAGGAGAAAGGATAATACTGGTAATGAAAAACAACACAAAGCAATATAAACCAATAAAAAGTCATATGTTAGGCAAGAATGACAAAAAAGAAATATCACTATCACTTTTGTTGAGAAGGAATTTATGAAACAGAAACATAAGATTTGGATACCTGGATATGAATGGCTTGGAGAACAATAAAAGCAAGTACATGGCAACATTGGTGGATACATCCAGAACAGGAGGAAAGGGTGCACACAGTTGGAAATCTGCCAAGGAAGCAGAGGTGTTCAGCCACACAAACACAAGATGATCCAGGGCTGGGACAAGCGGAGGAAATGCAGAAGGGGAAGAGAGTAATGACTAACATTCACTGTGTATTTGTGAAATGAAAAGTATTTCACACAGGCTGTCTAATTTAATTCTCAGGAGGCATTATTCTTGTTTCAATGTTGAGAAAACTATGGCTTATAAAGCTTAATTATTTATATCTAAATGTAAAACCTGAAACTCAGGAACAGATGAAAATATAGGGAAAACACTTCAGGACACAGCAACGGGCAAGGATTTTTTGACTCAGACCCCAAAAGCACAAGAAACAAAAGCAAAATCAGACAAAGAGTATTTCATGTAACTAAAGAGCTTCTACCAAAGGAAACAATTAAGAGAGTGAAGATACAACACACTGTACAAAAGAAAAGATGTGCAAGCTATACATTTGCAAGGAATCAGTCAGAATATATCAGGAATGTAAACAACTATATGGGGTGGGGGCGACACTTCAAATAACCCAATTAAAAAATGGACAGTTGGGGGTAGCCACAGGGTGCAGTGGTTAGGTCATCAACTGAGAAGCCTCCCACATCAGAGAGCCTGGTTTGACTTCTGGCTCATCCATTTCTGATTCAGCTTCCTGTGATGCATAGGATGGGTGGCAGCACGTGAAGGTGCTAGCCACCCATGTCAGAGACTCAGATTGAATCCTGGGCTCCTGGCTTTAGCCTCATCCAGCCTTGGCTATTGATGGGCACTTGGGGGGTGAGCAAGTACATGGAAGATCTTTCTCTGTCTCTCTCTGCCACTCTGCCTTTCAAATAACAAAACAACAAAAAAAGGGAAAATAATTGGATAGTAGGTCTAAAAAGACATTTTTCAAAGAAAGACTTATAAGTTGCCAATAGGTATATGAAAAAAATGTTCAAAATCACTAATTATCAGAGAAATTCAAATCAAAACTGAAAGGAGATATCACCCCACTCCAGTCAGATCGCTTATTATCAAAAAGACAAATGATCACAAATGTTGGTGAAGATGTGGAGAACGCTTGTACATTTTTGGTAGGAATTTAAACTAGTACAGCCATTGTGGAAAACAGTATGGAAGTTCCACAAAAAAAAAAAAAAACTAAAAAAAGAGAACTACCATACAATCCTGCAACCCCACTACTGGATATATCCAGAGAAATGAAATCAGTTTGTTGAAGAAACATCTGCATTCCAATGTTTATTGAAGCACCATTCACAACAGCTAAAAAAATGGATACAATCTAAGTGTCCATTCACTGATGAGTGGATATAGAAAATACGATATGCATATATATGTATGCATATATATATACATATATACATACAATGGAGTATTATTCAGTCACTTAAACAAGGATGAAATATTGTCACTTACAATAACATGGGTGGAACTGGAGGTCATTATGATAAATAAAATAAGGCAAGGGGTCAGCATCGTGGCATAGTGAGTTAAGTCTGCCTGTGAATGCTGGCATCCCATGCATGTTAGTCTGAGTCCCAAATGTTCCATTTCTGATCCAGCGTTCTGCTAACATGCCTGAGAAGGAAACAAAGAATGGCCCAAATACTCAGGACCCTGTCACCCATGTAAGAGACCCAGACGAAGCTCCAGGCTCCCAACTTTAGCCCTGTACAGTCCCAGCCATTGTGGCCATCTGGGGAGTGAATCAGCAGAAGGGAAGCCTCTTTCACTCTCTGTCTCTCCCTCTCTCTCTTTCAAATAAATAAATAAATCTTAAATAAATAATAAATAAATAAAATAAGCCAAACACAGAAAAGCAAGTACTACATGATCTCACTCATGTGAAGAATCTAAAAAGTCGATCTCAGTTGGTTGCTAGAGGCTGGGGAGAGTAGTGAGTAGGAAGGATGGGGAGAGGTTGATTAGTGGGTACTAAGTTATAATTAGATATAAGTTAAGTTCTGGTGTACTACTGTACAATTATTCTTAAAAAAAGAAGAAAGGGTTTTGAATGTTTTCACCATTAAAAAATGATAAATGTTTGAGGAAACAGATTTTCCCAGATCTGGACATTGTACAATGCATATTAAATCTAAACATCATGTGGTACCCCACAAGTATGTATTATTCTATGCGTCAGTTAAAATAATGACATTTAAAAGTAGTTCTAATTTCAGTAAAACTTTTACTGGAGACATGGATAAAGAAAGAAAGAAAAAAAGAAAGAAAAGAATAAAATTAAGTAACTGGTCCAAGATAGCAGAGCTCACCCGAAGGTGGAGATGGGAGTCAATTCCAGGGTTCTGATTCCAAAGCTACCCATGCTTGTTAACACAGAACAAATGCCAGTGAAGAGGAAGAGCCCTGGATACTAGGCTGAGTTTGGATATACCGCAATAAGAAACCACAGGAGATCCCTGGTATGGGAAAAGAGACCACAATGAAATCCATAGCTTTTTTGTTAGGAAACTGTTGAGACCAGCAGAACAGTGCTGGTTCCATGCCCAGAACCCTGGTGCCTGGTGGAATGTGCCTGGCTGCCCTGCAGGTCCTGGGAGCTTTCATAGGTACTCCACTACCTTTCACTGCTCCATAGGTCCCATTTACCTGTTCTGGGCCCTTTGGGCCTCAACACATCCTATAAGTAGACACAAAACAAATTACATTAAAGTGTAAATTCAAACCTCAACTGAGACAACTGAATTGCTGTAGCAGGGCAAGGTTAAACCCCCATCCAAGAAGCCTTGAACTTGGGCCTGCAGCTATATGAAGTGTTGGGGCCCACACAGAACAAGACAAGAACTGGTGATTCATTGAGACCACCACTATACCAAGCCTACTAAAAACCACCAAATGGATCTCTAAATTCTTCAATTGCAAAAAATAATAAAGGCTTTACTGAGATATAATTCACATACCATATACATCACACATTTAAAGTACACAATTTAATTTTTTAAAAAATATATTCACAAAGTTGTGTAACCATCATCACATTACTTTGAAAGTGTTTTCATTACACTAAAAATAAAGTCCATATCCATTTGTGGTTACGCCCTATTCCTCCCCAATTTCCCCAGCCTGGGAAACTGTTGATCTGCTTTGTGTCTTTATTGCTTGGCCTTTTCTAGACAGTCCATATTAACAGAAGCATACAATATGTATTCTTTGTGACTGGCTTCATTCTCAACTATGTTTTCAAGGGCCATTCACATTGTAGTATGTTTCAGTACTTCGTTCCTTTTATTGCCACTTTTTATTCCACTGTATGTATAAAGACAATAATCTATTGGCACAATGACCTCTTCCTGTCTCCTTTCCCTCTATCAACTAGATCTAAGAGCCAACACAAACACAAGGAATGAGAAAATGCTGTTTCTTATTAATGTACTCCCTTGGGGGCTTCTATATCCATATGGTTCCATTTTAACTTAAACACATATTGAGTTTCATATCCATACCTCCAAGTAATATTCTAAACTCTGTCTATTGTCTCCATGTCTTTGAAGCTACATGAACTCCCCAACTCCCTGTTCAGTGGAAGTGACAACCAGAAATCTCTACCTTGGGCAAGACACTTAGCACTTGGGCTGCTGCCACGATTAACAGGAGATAATGCACAATCAGGGAACAAGTGCTTTTCCAACTTACAGGGAGGAATGGTCTAGTCTGCTCTTGCATATGCAGGGCAGCATCAGCCAAGAGTACGCCAACCTCATCGGTATCAGAGATCACAGTCACCTGAAATCCACTTTACGAGACCCACTTTACCCCCAAAGACAGTAAATCATAGTCTTCTCAATTTGAGCGTAGTAAGATAGCTTCTCACTGTTCTCATTAGAAGCTATCTTTTTTTGCCTCTCCAGGGATTTATCAAATCTTCCTTTTCTTTTCATTCAAGCAACTAACCTTGAGAATGTTCTTTCTACTGATAGAATTAGGCTTCATTTATACAAGAGGCTGCTATTCTTGGTCTGTGTGGAAATTAGGGAAGGGGCACCTGGGTGATCACTCTAGCTCAGTCTTGAGTGAAGAATGAAAAGCAATTTGTGGGGGTTGGCGTGGTGGCACAGTGGGTTAAAGCCCCAGCCTGTAGCGCTGGCATTCCATATGGGTGCCAGTTCGAGTCCCGGCTGCTCCATTTTCCATCTAGCTCTCTGCTATGGCCTGGGAAAGCAGTAGAAAATGGCACAAGTCCTTGGGCCCCTGCACCCGCATAAGAGATTCAGAAGAAGCTCTTGGCTCCTGGCTTTGGATTAGCTCAGCTCTGGCTGTTGCAGTCATTTGCAGAGTGAAAGTGGAATGAAAGACCCCTCTTTCTCTCTCTCTGGCTCTACCTCTCTCTGTAACTGTGTCTTTCATAAAAAATAATAAAAATGAAAAAACAAAAACAAAAAATGAAAAGCAATTTGTAAATTATAGAAGAGAAAGATAAATAAAAATTAAAGAAGAATAATAATGGCTAACATTTACCCAAGACTTACTATTTCTTAATCATGATGTTTAGGACTTTCTTTTCATTAAAGATTTATTTTATATATTTGAAAGGCAGATTTACACAGAGAGGTGGAGACAGAGGGATCTTCCACCTGCTGGTTCACTCCCCAAATGGCCACAACAACCGGGGCTGGGCCAGGCTGAAGCCAGAAGCCTGGAACTCCATCCAGGCCTCCCACATGGGTGGCAGGGGCCAAATACTTGGGACATCTGTTCTGCTGTTTCCCAAGGTGCATCAGTAGGGAGCTGAATCAGAAGTGGAGCAGCCAGGACTTGAACCAGCACTGATATGGGATGTCGGCATTGCAGGCAGTAGTTTAACCCGCTGTACCACAATACTGACCCTCGTGCCTAGGGCTTTTACATTTATTTTTGCAGTTAATTCTTTTTAGGATTTATTTATTTATTTGAGATGCAGAGTTACAGAGAGAGGGAGAGAGAGAGAGAGGTCTATCATCTGCTGGTTTACTCCCCAAATGGCTGCAATGTCTGGAGCTAGGCTGATCCAAAGCCAAGAGCCAGGAGCTTCTTCCAGGTCTCCCACACGGGTGCAGGGGTCCAAGCACATGGGCCATCCTCCACTGCTTTCCCAGGCCATAAGCAGAGAGCTAGAATGGAAGAGGGGTAGCTGGGACACTAACCGGCACCTACATGGAATACTGGGACAGGGCAGAGGCTTAGCCTACTACACCACAGTGCCAGCAACTTTTCAGTTAATCCTTACATTAAACCTTTGAACTAAGTATAATTATTACTGTGATTTAAGAAATTGAGACTAACTTGCTGAAGATCAGCAAAAGAGTCAATACTTGAAACTAAACCTTATATAGTTTACTTTTTTTAAAACACTAAATAATATTGCTTTCCAATAAAACAAAATTACAGACAGGTGAACCCACTCAATTAGAAAAGTCAAATTTACCACCTTTTTGCAGGCCCTCTAAGAAGTTTTGCCATACCCACTCTAAAGATGAGGAAATAGGTTTGGTATAAGTAGGTGAGTTAGCCACAGTAATACAACTGAATAGCATACTCCTCTCCTATTCTACTAATAAGCAATATATAAAAGGCAACAATGGTTGGTTCTTCTGGAGTAAAATATGAGAAATAAGGGACCAAAAGGATGACTTTACTCTAAAACAGGCACACACAAATAGACAGTTAACTGTAAACTGACCTAAAAGGTTATGAACTTCGCATACAGGTTAAATTGTTGCCAAGTTTTTCAAATGTTTGCTTTCCACATCTGTTTTCAGGACCTAGCTCAAGCTGCTACTGCCTAAAGCACTCTTATGGAATCCCTTTCAAAGTCCATTTAGAATTCCTAGTTTCATTCCTCAGACTGACAATTACATAACATTATCTGGACCTGCACTGTCTAACAGAGTAGTCACAAACTCCATAAGCTATTAAAACTACAATTAAGTCAAAAGAAAAATTCAGCCCTGAGTCATAACAGCAACCTCTCAAGGGTTCAAAGATTGTATGTGGCTAGTGTCCAAAGCCCAGACAGCTCCTGGACCGTCCACTTCCATGCTTGCAGAAAGTTCTGCGAGGATGATGCTGATCTCACCTCGGTAATTATCTTTGTGGAGATATACGAGGTCTGGGCACTACAAAGAGAAAAAGGGGCAGGGTAGATCAAAGCGCAGCACTCATAACGAGTCTTCTCAGACTGCTTCTAAAGGAACAAAGGGAATTTCAAAATGGAACCCTGGGTGACAAACACTGTCCTCACTTACCAGTGGCCATGCTGCAGAACCTTTAAGATTCCAGTAAGCATAGATCTCGTGTTCTTTAAATCTAGGCTGGGCAAAGAAGTGGTCAGTTTCACTTTCTCAATCATCAGCACCAGCATATAATACTGAATTTCTTTGCACGTTGTGCGCCAATACATAAGTTCCCGGAGTCATGGGGGTAATAACTTGTGTGTGTGTATGTGTGTGGACTGTTTGATTTTCAGAATTCAGGTACATAATAGGTGCTCAATTAATATTTGTAGAACGAATGAATAAAATGACCCTACTTCTGAGAGACTTGGACCCACCCTGAGAGTATATATAAGGGGTCTTCAGAAAGTTCATGGAAAATACCTATCACAAAAAATTTATGTGTGAATTTCAAAAATGTTTTGCACCAAAATAAACTTATCTTTTCTTGCCACTTCTACATAAGCATTCTGATGTACATTCACACTTCCATTTCTAAAGCACTGGATTCCAAAGCCTCTTTCAGATCCCAAAAGGATGCCCCAAGGTTATGGTTGTCTTGTGCCTGATGCCATTTCCCAACGTTGGAATGCTCTTTCCCGTGATCTGCACGGGACAGGCTACTTTTCCCAGGAGTTATCTATCACATGCTAGAGAAAGCCAGGCCTGATATGAGAATTCACCACTCCTGCCACTCTGTCATTCTCTCTCAGTGCTCCCTAACACTCATCACTATCTAATTATTTAATTGGCATATGCTTATGTCTATCCTCATCTTTGGAACACAACAGATATCCAACGTTGTCATCTTGTGGTACGTGCAGTACCAGGTGCACAATAGATGCTCAATGAAAGTGAGAGCGCTCACTACGGCTTAGTAATCTCTACACCTGCTCAACAGAGGCATTCCTCAAGCCACCACCTCCACAGGATGAGCCATTACACTACTCAGTTTTAGTTCACATTACCAAGGGCTTTGTTTTCACTTTTCCCACATTAAGTTTTCAAATTACATGGAATCACAGGAAAGCCTCACTCAGACTTACTGCAGATATTTTATATAATTTATTTTTCAACTACCAGTACTTGGCTGAAGTTTGGGAACATAACTAAAATTAGAATTGACTTGTTATCTGCAGCATAAGTAAAACATCTGAAGGAAAAATGACATAAACTTTGTAGAAGTGAATGATACTCATTAGACACTTTCAAGCTACAGCCCAGTTTCTAACTTGTCACAAGGCTGAGGCTGATCCACAACACCAGATGTAGTGGAACATTTTTTCCCCCAGTCTCTGCCCAGGTGCAGCTCAGAGCAGAAGGAACACCCACCTCCGACATTACTAAACAGTACAGCATTTCATAATTACTTCCTTTTCTTCCAGATTCCGGGCAAGATTTAAATTATATATAACTGTGTCGAATACAGTGATCGGAGGTACAAAAAACGAATACACAACTGTGAGAACCAAGCAAATGTCAGAAATATGAGAGAGAAAACACGGCATTTGATCATAAAAGCAATGTTCCTATTAACCCATTCTGTCTAAATTTAAAGAAAGAGAGGGGTTTGGAGGTGCTCGGAATTCTTAAAATATTGTGATTTCAAAGGCCTTAAAAATGTAATAAAAAGAAAGTTGGCATGTCAAAGTCACCAAAGCCAAACACAAAGGGCCGCTGAACACACGTCTAGGGTTTGTCTACCACAAGCATTTGCCCCTGTTTTCGGGAAGAGAAGTTTCAAGCATGTGTTTGTCGACCCGTAAGTTAAAAGGAGGAAGAGGTCTCTTGTCTGGTCTCTCCAGCCTCGGGAGCGCAGCCCTGGGCGGCTCCAGGCGGCTGCCACCCGGCAAGCGCCGGACTGACGGAGCTGGCGAGGCCGGCCGAGCCGCCTCACCTCGGCCGCGAGTGCGGGTCCAGCGACGGGCCCGGGGGGCTTGGGGACGGCCGGCGCTCCGGGAGCACGGGCAGCACCCGCCCTTCGCCTCCCGCGAGTCTGCCGCAGAGCGCAGGGCGGCGGCCGGCGGACCAAGCGCACAGAGCAGGTGGCAACGCTGCAGGGACACCGCGACTCCGGCCGCCCAGCCAGAGCCCCCTGCCCCACGCCTCTCTTACCCTGACCACTTCGGCTTCCTCCTCCTCCAGCGGCCGCTGTCACCCCGGGGCCCCACAGCCCCCAGCTGCAACTCTCAGCTGATGGGCGGCGGCACAGGAACACCCACTGCGCATGCTCCCAGTGTAACCCGGAGAAGAAGGCGAGGCCAGAGGGGCTAGCTCCTCACCCATTGGCTTTAGGGACTGAGTGACAGAGAACCTCTCCCGCCCCCTCTGGTTCACAGCGAAGGAATGGAAGCGCCAGCAAAATTGCAGGGGGCAGTTCTTTGAAGGCGGGCATACAAATGGTGGAAGCCTTAGCCTGCATACAGAAGAAAAGAGGAGGAAATGGAGGGTATTCGTCTTCTTCATCCCATGAAGCCAACCCCCTGGATTTGTGCCTTCACCCTGCCCCCGCCTTAGGCTCTTCCCTGTCTCCTTTCCTAACCTTTAACTCCGCCGTAGACCGAATGCACAGCTCCATTCGAAAATGCAAACGCAGATACGCCATCCTTGCAGGAACAATGAAGGGACAGGGGAACACCCCGGGTACTCTCAGTGGACTAGCTTTTCTTGATCACGCAAGTCAGTCCGAACATCCTTGAAAGGCAAGAAGCAATCTTCGTGGACTTTAAAACTGGAAGAGAATGCTCCAATAATAAATATTCAATCGGAAGTATTACCTGAAAAGCATCAGTTGCTTCAAGTGAGAGAAATACTTTACTAAACTAATTAGAAGATACAATGGCTTGGCCTTTGCTCCTATCAAGGCAACATTGTTTTCCAAAAAGATCATAAGATTAAGTGAGAAGTTTAGGGTAACTTAGAAAAGCAAAACAAAACACTAAGCACAAAATGTTTTGAATTAGTACTACTTAGAAAATTCTAGGCTGTTTGGTGTTATACATGTACATGTATATCCCTGAATACATCAGGACTAGTCTTTACCTCTGTGAGATGGAAATAATACAAAGAGATGGGCTTCCTGGCCAAGTAGAGGGCACACCCTCACCTAAAGGCAGTGTGATTCAGATATGACCATTGTGAATGTTTGGGAATATTGGCCAATAAAGCCAAATTATCTGCTTTTCGGGATATAGTGGAAATTCTATTTGTGTGTGTGTGTGTGTGTGTGTGATATGTGAAGTCTTCTTTTTTGATATTCTCAAATTGTTATGAAACATTCTCTGATCAGACAAAATATGTGTTTGAACTCAAATAGTAGGCAGTAGTGACAGCCCCTGAAGCTGGAGAGACCCTTGTGGAAAATCTAGTGCCACTTCCTCATTTCATAGATTAAAGAAACCGAAACCCAAAGAAATACGAAAATCACAAATTATGAACAGCACAGGTCCAGATAGCCTAATTCAGAATTTAGAATCTTTCCTACTGTTTCATTCATTCAGAAAATGTTCATTGAGATCCTGCCACGTGCCAAGTACTGCAGATGTCAAGGTAAGTAGGATATAGTATTTTCTTCAAAGGAGCTTAAGGAGTGGAGGTCCTTCCCAGGACAGATAAAATATGCTATGGTAGAGATCTGTTCATTGTGTGGTGGAAACCCAGAAATGGAGTTGCCTTATTGTGCAGAGGAAGTGATAACAGAATTTGAAAAGTGTGAGAGTTTGTTGGAACATGAAATGTGAAAGGACATTGTGGGTGAAAGGAAGAACACATGAAGCTTCATAACATCATAGGCAAGAGTAAATTTCTAGGATGCCTGAATAAATTTATTTACAGAAAGCATAGTCGATAAATTGGGTGGGAATGAGACTGAAAAGGCAAGTGGAATTCATGTAACAAAAAGCCTCTATGTCCTGTTGAGTGGCAACCTAATAAAAGTTGAACCATTAAAGGATTTAGTCAAGGGTGTAAGGTATGGATAATTCCATGCCATGAAGAGAACTTTGGAGAAGTAGAGGAAATGAAAGAAAAATAACATTGAGAATGGAGGGGGTTGGGGGCAATGAGAGAGACCACTTAGGAAGCTGTTGTATATCAGAGATATTGAAGGACTACACTAAGACCAATTCGTTGGAGAAGATGGGAAAACCAACTTGAGAAATATTTAAGAAGACTGCTGGGGGCTGGTATGGCACAGAGGTTAAGCTACTGCCTGTGATGTCAGCATCCCATATAGTGCCTATTCAAGTTCTGGCTGCTCCACTTCTGATCCAGCATCCCTGCTGATGTGCCTGGGAAAGATGTGGAAGATGGCCCAAGTGCTTGGGCATCTGCCACATATGTTTGAGACCCAGATGAAATTCTAGGTTCCTGGCTTCAGCCTGGTCCAGCCCTGGCTGTTGTGGCCATTTGAGGAGTGAAGCTTCAGATGGAAATACTTAAGAAGACTTGAAATTAACTGGAGATGTAGAGTAAACAAGGTAATTCCTAATCTTCTGATGTGGGAAGCTGCACTGTACATGATGTAGCTCTCTGATCGCTAAGATTGCTATAGAGCAATTGCAGTTTGAGAATGGAGGTGGTGAGAAGAGGGAACAAAGTGACAAGAAAGTTAGTTTTGGACATGCTATTTTCAAGATTATGGGACTCTTGAATATCTACGTTTGAGATGTCTGATGTCTTACAGGTATTTGAAAATGTGATCTACAGTTCTGGGCAGAGTTACAGTTGAAGTTATGGGAAGAGAAAAGCTTACTTACTTTAAGTGTGGGGCATTATGGACTATTTGTGTGGAAGAAACAGCAGGGACAGAAAAAGAAAAACCCTGAAAAGGAGTGGGAGAGATAAGAAATAAACCAGAAAAAGGTGAACTAGAGAGTGAAGGAAAACATTTCAAAAAAAAAGGAACAGGCTATGATGTTTTGGGTCACAGAAAGTTCAAGTAAATTGAAAGTTGTATGTTGGACTTGAGAGTTAGAAAGTGATTGAGGAACTTGAGGAAGAGGCACTTCAACCATTCAAGGAACTGTTGTGCAAGGTACTTACATCTTCATGATGTCTAGTGCTGTTTCCAACCATGCTTGTGTCTCCTTTGCTAGAACTCTGGGCTGTGGGATAGGAGGTGAAATGCAACTGAATATGGGAGCATCATATGTACTCATGGAGGAGCCACTTCTGTGGGGCAACACGCACTCCAGAGCTCCCCCGTGGGATCCAGCTGAAGCTGGTGTCGGCCAAGACCCTATCCATAGTATTTCGTCATTGCATGCCACTTCCTTAGTCACCTGCTCCTGTGAGTATTCCTAAATTCTCTTGTTCTTTCCTGCATCTGCCTCTAGAGGAGCCAGCATAAGATACCATAAAGATAATTGAAAATGAATCTTGATGAAGAATGGGATGGGAGAGGGAGTGGGAGATGGGATGGTTGCGGGTGGGAGGGTGCTTATGGGGGGAAAAAGCCACTATAATCCAAAAGTTGTACTTTGGAAATTTATATTTTCTAAATAAAAGTTAAAAAAAAGAATGTGTCTTCCAACTGCTAAAATTCAAAAATTATACTTGCAAAATTTATATTTATTAAATAAAAGCTTTCTATTAAAAAAAAGAAAAATTACAAAGGCTCAACATAGATGACTCACAGACTTCTTACTCCAAGTTCCTAAAAAATAGAGCTGAAAGCAAAGTTTTTTATACTGTTGAAGGGTGGAATTACAGTTTAGATGTAAACATTTCGATTGGCTTTACTTTCATCTTTAGAATTGGACAACATTTCTTTCCATAAAATGGAATAAGTATTCCTGTGGGCTAAGTAGAAGAAGTTTAGTTTTATAGGCAGAGAAAGACTGAAGAAAGCAGAAACAAACGACCAAAAAACAGATTGATCCCTTTAAAGTTACTTTCTGTGGAAGGAGGGGACACAGAGACAGAACAGCCAGAAAGTGGTGGTTGCCATCTGGTTATTTCAGGTTGCTTCTTTTATATAAGGAGTAAAGCAAAGGGAACTTCATTGTCAAGCCAAATGAAAATGGCCTGTTTGGGAAATTTGGTTGGTTTCTTTCTAATCCTCATATCTCAGAAGTTAGATAAGTAGCTTAGTGAACTTTAGCACCATTTTGATTTTTAACCTGGTCTGTTGGGGCCCAGTGCTAATGCTTAGTGCCAAACAATTGCCTCCTGTGGTTTTTATCTAAGGACACTAAGGCTTTACAGTAATCCTAGGGCAGCAGAAGCAAGGTATAAGGGAAGGGAAACCAGGAAGAAGGGAGAGCAAACACACAATGGCTTATCTTCAAGAAAACATGGCTTAGTCACTGTGATCAGTGAATTGGGACACCTTCCAGACCAACCTATAGAACCACTGTGACTTTGAACAAAATTTGGTGAAGTATGAGGGAAAGGGGAGAAGAAAGAGGAATTTCCTTCATTAATTCTTCTGAAACAAAATTTACCCTGGGGACACTAAGTGCTCTACACTTCCAGGTTGTGTTATCCAGATTCTCTGCAAAGTCAGATCCAAAGTAGAACCAAGTATAGGGATAGATGAGAGGTGAGGGCTGGTGTTGGAGCACAGCAGGTTAAGCCACCTTCTGCAATGGTGGCATCCCACATGAGCTTTGGTTCGAGTCCCAGCTGCTCTACTTGTGATCCAGCTCCCTGCTAATGTGCCTGTGAAAGCAGCAGAAGATGTTCTAAGTACTTGAGCCTCTGCCATCCATGTGGGAGAGCTGGATGGAGATGGACAGTCGGGGAGAAAATATAGCCTCTCTGTGAGTTGTATTGGTGAGGAGCTGTGTGCTAGAGCTGTGATTACCTCTCGGAGCGCACAGTGGAGGCTTCACAGAAACTCAGACTCAAAGTGGGACAGGAAAGACATCCAGCAGTGTTAATTAGGCAAGATCTCTGTTGACTGAGGTCTCCTGAGAACAAATGACTGCAGTCATGGAGGCACCTAGAACTAAGTACATCTGGGGCGGTTTATAAACTGCACAGGAAAGAATCAAAGTAGCCAATAATTACAGTTGAATATGATGAAAATAGAAGGAAAATTACAATGAAAATAACATTGAAAGAGCATCTCAAAATGGAACGGAAAGGGGATTAGAAAAGAGCTTATGCAGGATTCCAGCTGCTGCCTGAAATGTGAACTTTGGTTACTTCCACCCTTTGACCTCCAGTATCTTTAACAGTCAAGACCCTAAGACAGTTGCACTGGGCCCAGAGGCTCCTCTGGATGCA